AGACAGGGCTTCACTATGAAGTTCAGGCTGGCCTGGAACCTACTTTGTAGCCCAGGCTGGCCTAGAACTCACAGCAATCCTCTTGCCTCAGCCTCTTAAGTGCTGCGATTACAGGCATGTACCACCACACCCAGCTTGATGAAAAAAGATTGACAGTGTGAAAATGTATCCTAAATAGAAAAAGTGATTTGGTTTTTCTGCTAATTTGGTAGTTGAAGTCACTGTCCAACCTAACTTATTGGAGACAGCCACCTTTACAACTTCGATGGGTTTTTTCCTAGGTGTAGATTTGTGCATATATATTGGCTAAGCATGGTTTCAGTGACAGGATGAGGGAAGACCTTAGAATTTTTAGCTTCTATAAAAGCAATGAGAAAATTGGAGAAAAAAATTCAGGGTCAACTTTCAGATTCTAGAAATTTACCAAAGGCTTACATCAATCTAGGAAGTGTTTTGTTGGGGTGTTTTTCCCCCCAAGAATAATATCTGAATCTCAGTAAAAGAAATGAACATCGTGGTATTTAGACTTGTCAGGTCTTATCTCCCATTATCCAGGTATGTAATAGCCTTAAAAGTAATAATCCACTTGAGTGATGAAGACCAGGAGTTTTGTATCCACTAAGAGGATGACGAATGGGACCAGACCTCTTTTTGAAACCTTATTCCCAGAGGATCATTAGTGTTTACCCAATCTAGTAGTTCCCTATAAAACCCATGCATGCAAGGCCTTCTCTATTTGACTTCATTTGGAAGCTATCCAGTGTAACAAACCTTTTCCAGACAATGAATGAGTTAGGCTAAACATTAATCATTAAAAATTTTAAAAGGGGGGGCTGGGTATTTAGCTCAGCAGCATAAGCACCTGCCTTGCAAGCAGGCGGTCGTGAGTTCGATCCCCGGTACCAATAAAAATGAAAAAGACAAAAAAAAATTTTTTTAAAGGAAAAACTGTGGAATGAATTCACTGAAGAGGCTCTGAGAAAGCTATGATATATTTCTGAGTATCTGGAAAGTCAGATGCATGTCTGGGCTGTGTACACACCCAGTGCTATGTGCACACTTAGAAAAGCCCTTTGATAGTCCTAAGCTTCCTTTCCAGCTGGCCTTGGTCTTGGCAGAGCAGATAGTAGAGCTGAAACACAATTATCTATTGCCTGAGAGAGCGCTGGTGACATGCCTCAAAATGCACCCAGAGCCTCTGTGTAAAGACTGGGTTTCAAATGTTGAAGGAAATCAACTGTCCACAAGCAACTAGGCGGAGACTTTAGTGGCCACACTCAACAAAGAATGTAGATCCTAAAGAATTAACTCAGAGAAGCCACTAAAAATACAACCACAATGAACAGGAACAACACATTCAAGATTTGGGAGAAGGTTCATCATGGTAGTGCACACCTATAATCCCAGCACGTGGGTGGCTAAGGCAGAAGGATTACCATGAGTTTGAGGCCAGCCTGGATTCATAGTGAGTTCAAGTCCAGCCTAAACTACATAGCGAGACCCTGCTCAAAAGAACAAAACAAAGAATGAGGAGACTCTGATTTTCAGTATTGCCACATTGCATTATGTAAAATTCATAGTTTCAATAACAAAAGGATTATAATACATGCAAAGAGACAAGAAATTATGGCTTATACACAGAGAAAAGAAGCAACCAAAAGAAAGTATCTCCAAGGAAGCCCAGACATTGGCTTTATTAGATAAATACTACTTATGTATTTATTTTGTTGTGCTGGAGATCAAATCTAGAACCTTGCACATGCTAGGCAAGTGCTCTAGCACCAAGCTACAGTCCCATTATGAAATACATTTTTATTTTCTGTGCTAGAATCAAACCCAGGGCCTTGTGCATGCTAAGCAGTTACTCTAATAAGCTATCCCAGCCCTGCCTAAAGACTTTAAGTCAGCATTTTAAATGTGTAAGAAGGAAACCATGGCTAAAGAACTAAAGGAAAACATGACAAAAATCTCTTACCGGTTGGGAAATATCAATAAAGATGTAGAAATCATAATAAAATGACCAAGTAGAATTCTAAAGTTAGTAAGTATAATAACTAAAGGAAAACTCCACTGAAGGGTCCTAACAGCATATTTGAGGAGGCAGGAGAAAGACTGAGCACACTTGAAGATTGGTCAGTTGAGATTATTGCCTGAGGGACAGAAAGAAAAAAAATTGACAGAATTCTGTGATACAGTCAAGAATACTCTTGTATGCATGACAAGAATTCCATAAGGAAAAGAAAAGAAGGAGCACAGAGTGCTTGGAGACTTAGTGGCTGTGCTGGGTGTTAAGGTGAACACCTGTAATACCAGTATGAAGGAGGCTGAGGCAGAAGGCTACCCTGGGCTACATAGTGAGACCCTGTCTCAAAAAACAAGATTTTTGGTTTCCTGAAACGCATTAGTTTACATGACCAAGAAGCTCAATAAACTCCAAATGGAATAAATGCAAAGAAATTAAACCCTATAGACATTAATCACCCAGCTGTTGAGGGCCAAGACACAGAATCTTGAAAATAGCAAGAGAGATGTGACTCATCACATATGAAATATCCTCAACAAAATCAACAGATGATTTCTCACAGAAACAATTAAAGATAAAGTGTAGTGGGAAGACATTGAAAGAGTCAACAGAGAATTCTATCTCCAATATAATTAGTCTTAAGAGACTTTCCACCATCTTTCCATGCTGCCATAATGGTGTGCATAGATGATGCTCTCAAGAGTATCAACAATGCTGAAAAGAGAGGCAAACACCAGGTCCTTATTTGGCCATGCTCTAAAGTCATCATCTAGTTTCTGTGATGATGCAGCATAGTTACATTGTTGAATTTGAAATCATTGATAATCCCAGGGCTGAAAAATTGTTGTGAACCTCACAGGCAGGTTAAATCGGTGCAGCATGATCAGTCCTAGGTTTGATGTGCAGCTAAAGACCTGGAAAAATGGCAGAACAATCTGCTCCCATCCTGTCAATTTAGTTGCATTGTATTGACAACCTCAGCTGGCATCATGGACCACAAGGAAGCACAATGAAAACACACAGGAGAGAAAGTCCTGGGATTATTCTTCTAGGGACATAAAACATATAAATAAAATGCCTCAGCAGACTCTGGTGTGTTGGGAATTGTCAAAGCTAGAAATTGGCCATACATGTAGGGGCTGGCCAGCCAGGTTCAAGAACAAAGACTGTCCAGAGAAAGACCCAAAACATCAGGCCTTTAGGTTGCCATAGTTGCAGATTACTAGGCAATGGGGTGTCATGTGACATTAAGTTGCTAAATGTATAAATAAATGCTCCTACAATGAGAGGGCAGTTCCTTTCCTCCTTTCCTCAGGAGAGAAGGCTCCACCTGATTCCAGCTTTCTGTATCTCATCTTTATTTCTTCACCTTCTCACTGCCCTTCATGATCCTCACCCCAGAAACTTCCAGAGCTGCTCAGGTCACAGCACTGGTGATTTTAAAAAAAAAAGATAGGGGCTGGGGATTTAGCTCAGCGGCATAAGCACCTGCCTTGCAAGCAGGCAGTTGTGAGTTCGATCCCTGGTACCGATAAAAACAAACAAAAAAAAAAAAAACAAAAAAAAAAGATAAAGGCCAGGTTAAGATATTCTCAGACAATATCAACAAGGAGAACTCTTCTACAAAATATACTGTAGGAAGCCGGGCGTGGTGGCTCACGCCTGTAATCCCAGCACTTGGGAGGCTGAGGCAGGAGGATTGTTGCAAGTTCGAGACCAGCCTGGGCTACAAAGTGAGCTCAAGTCCAACCTGAACTGCATAGTTGACGGGCGCAGCCCCCCCAATGAGACAGAGGACGCTCTTGTTGGTAACAGGTAACTGCTGCTTTATTGTTTCGGGCTCTGGCTTATATATTCAGCCGTGACCAATCACAGGCTGCCACAAGGAGGCAGGGTTGGGATGGGACGCAGGCTCTGGCCAATATGCCCAGCTGTGGCCAATCAGGGGTTGCCACAGAGTCAGCACGGGCGAATACGGAGTGAGCACGAGGTGTGCACCGGGGGTGGCTAGTTTGGAGAGGGACGTAGCGCATTGTGGAAGCTGACATGGTCCTTAGTCCCGGGTGGGGTATGGTATGTTGAGCGCCTGCGCCCAACACATAGTGTCTCAAAAAGAAAAAAAAAAAATACATATATACGTGAGATACGGAACTAGAGGACAAAAATTACTGGGGCCATGCTGGATGTCGGCCACCACTGGGGAGACCCTGGCACAGGTATGGTGGTGGCTAGATAGAAGTTTAGGACCAAACCTGAACCTGGAATCAAAATGAGGGATAATGAACCTCGGGAGGTGGCACATGCTTATAATCCAGCAGTCAGGAGGCTGAGGCAAGAGGACTGCCTTGAGTTCAAAGACTGCCTAGACCACATAGTTGGTTCAAAGGTAGCCTGAACTATAAGGCAAGACATTGTCTCAGAACAAAACAAAAAAAAAGGAGGGGGGGTAGCAACAGTGTTTGGTCACAGGGCCAAGACTAGACCACCACCTAGACCATCTCCTGAGCCTGAAGGTGGACTGTGGTGAGGGTCACTTGCCTAAGAACAGATAGGGAGTTCTGTCAACTTTGGGAGCCCCTCCCATGGCCCAGAGGGAGTAGCGGAGATAGTGTCCCTTAATATCCCCTCAAGGGACAATAGGGGCAGGGTCTTGAGCCTTTCAGAAAGATGTGGGGCCCACCCAACTAATCTGAAGACACCCCCACACATACTGGAAATTTCCACCTGCGTGCTACACACACACACACACACACACACACACACACACACACACACACACACACACACACACACACACACACACACACACACACAGCGCCACTGCATACAGATGCAGAGCGACTTTCCCTACCAAGGAACCAAGTGAGTCCAGAGCGCTCAGCAGTCCTGGAACTACATTTCCCAGAAGGCTTGCTACACCTTCGTCTGTCCTGCTCCTATCTGGCGCTCTTGGGAAAGGAAGCCCACGCGAAGCAAAGGCTCTTGGGTGTGGTAGTTTGCTTTCGGTTCGCGCAGGCGCATTTTCCAGCGGCGGTGGCCGGGCGGCTCTTTGTGGCGGCCGCTGTTCTTTTGTAGACGGTGTATTGCTTTTTCGTCTGTTTGCCCGATCGTTTTTTTGGGCTCTCCATCCGCCCGGGACCTGTGCCTGGTCCCTGCGTGTGTGTCGCCGGGACGCCGCAGAAGTGTGTGACGGGGTGACGCGGCGCGTGTGTGAAAAGGACGCGGCGCCCGATGTGGGTGTGTCTGCGGGCGGGTGTGCTGGGTCGAGATCCGGGTGAAGCGAGTGGTGTGTTGGCTGAGCCTGCCCCAACCGGGGCGCGGAGAGGGGGCTCCGTGTGCGGGTGCTGCTGCCGCGAGCGCGTGCGTGATCCCGCGGGGCTGCCCTACAGGCCGCTGTCCCCGAGCCCTTGAAGCAGACCTCGCACCTAGGGACTGACCTGCTGTCCTGGAGACTGAGAGCTGCCCACTCCAGGGAGCGCTGCCGAGGGGCGTCATGGAGACCCCGCCCGTGAAGCCCGAGGAGACAGGTACAGTTTGGCTCTTTTAGTTGCTGGGTTTGTGGGTTTGCAGTTGAGGAGACTGACACTCTTGAGAGGTCAGGCCAGTTTCCTAGAAGCACCAGCCAGGCTGGCCTTCTGCTTCTTCATCGTGCACAACCATTTGTTCCCACTGTCAGACATGTCGATGGGGAAAAGGAATGGCAGTATTTCCTCTTAAAATATCTGGGACATCAGGAGGCAGAACTAACCCTGATGCTCTATTGACTCTGCCAGATATTGGGGCGCACTCTTCACTAGCCATGCCTGAATAGTTCCTGTCTTTTCTGATTTCTGACTGTGCCTGGGCTGGGTGGACTTTACCTGGGTGGTGGCTGTGGCAGAACAGTCCCTTTGATTCATTTCTCCATCCCCAGCTCCTTTTACTCAGCGCTCTGCTTTTTTCTCCAGAGAATCCAGAGAATGAATCTGGTTGGGGTCTCCTGGAAACCAGATCTGAGGTGAGTGCCTCTTTTCTTCCTTTATGAAAAGGGTTAGCAGTTTTTCCCCAAATTCTTGGATCTGCAATCAGCCATGGACCTTCACCTTCAACCTGTTTTTGAGTGCTGAGGAATTCTGGGCATTGAGAACAGCTCCAGTTGAAGACAGTCTGAATGAGGCCTCATGTATCTGCATGAGATGAACTCTCATCAATGTCACTCCAAGACTAACTCAGTTTGATGGGTGGATCAGTTGTTAGGACCTGTATAACCAAGAGCTGTGCTTGGAGGTTTGATCAAGTAGATGACAGTTCACATGAAATCACTTTACTCATCTCCATGTGCTGACGAGGGCATGTTGCAGACGCGGGGGATGTTTGGAGTGGAATCAGGCAAGATCATTTAGAAGTACTGGAATAAGAGTAATGGCAAGGAATGTGTCACTGTTTGCTTCCATCTGTACCAAATCTGTGGCATGGAGCTTTCATGGAAAAAGCTGGTGGTTTAAGGAAAAAAACTTTGGGGCCAATTAGAAATTAGCCCTGGTACCAGTTCTGTTGCTAAGTGGAGCCCAGATCCCCTCCTTTACAGCTTTTGAACTTTGCTTCTCATTATTTCCTACCGCCAAAACCATCCCTAGCTACCATGGATCTTGGGGACTTCAGTTGTGGCCAAGCTCCCTGGCCTAGGTGTCCTAAGGCACGGACTTTGCAAGGTGCCATGGTATCTATTCAGTCTCACTTAATATTCCAGAAGTGGGAGGTGAAGGATAGGGATGTGTGCGTGTCAGTTCTTAGCACCACCAGCTCCAGCCCTTGGACTGCTGGAGTCGGTGTCTACAGCACAACCTTCCATCCTGGAGAGAAGATCACTCAGGTTAACTTGGTCTTCATAAGGTCCTTAATCAATCTGTAGCTCCCTGGGAACCATGCACACAGAATCACTTCTGTCCTATGTGTGTCATTTCAGGAATCAGTGACATTCAAGGATGTGGCTGTGGACTTCACCCAGGAAGAGTGGGGTCAACTTGACTCCCCTCAGAGGGCCTTGTACCGAGATGTGATGCTGGAGAACTACCAGAACCTTCTTGCCTTGGGTAGGAGTGGCTCCCAAGGCTTATTCCGCATGGTAGTGCTGATGTCAGACATGGCGTGAGTTGGAATATAGGGTCTCTGCCTCAGGACACCTGGGCCAGGGGGCTTGACCACACCTAAAGTCCCCAAGATCCAGCATGGTAGCTAGTCGCATTCTTACTTAAAGTTCCACTGGTCCCAGAATAGGGAGCACAGAGAAGGAGAGCTCCGGGGGGAGAGAAGGCAAACTGCCTACTTTGGGGCTCAGAGAGCTTCCTGTTCCCTGTGGATGGTACATCGTTTGTAATAGCTTGTTATGATTCAAGGGTCGTCACATGAGGACAGCTAAGTTGGAGAGCTGCAGTGCACCAGCCTCAGTGCTTTTTCTCCCACAAGCAGGGCCTCCGGTCTGTAAGCCAGATGTGATCTCCCATCTGGAACGAGGAGAGGAGCCATGGCGAGTGTACAGGGAAGGCTCTGGAAGGTCTTGTTCAGGTGAGCAGTTGACACAGGTAAAAGGTGCTGGTCCTTTGGCCCAGTGGCACCCCAGCACCTCCCCTCCCCTGCTCATATCCCCTGCCCAGCTCAGCTCCTGTTCCCCTCCTCAGTGCCACCATCTTGGCTCAGTCTGTGCCTTCCCTGGGTCCTTGCTAGGCCTCCCCGCAATCTCCTCCTTTTTTCCTTGAACATGTATTGAGCACCTGTGTGCCAGGAAGTATGCTGCGAATACAGCAGTAAACAAAACCAGCCGAAACACCTTCCTTCCGATGAGGGGTGGGAAGCAAAAGCATCTGTATTTAGGTAAAGACTTAACAAATGGCTTCTGTTAGAGGGCTGAAGACTGTGTGTGTAGACTTCAGTTGGGTCGGCTCCCTGAGAAGAGGTGGCAGAGAGAAGTGAGTAGACAGAGGGGGAGGTGGCACCAGGCAAGGGCAGGGTTTGGTCCGTGAAGCTACAGCAGGGACACTGGCCCTCTTTGTCTGAGAAGGGGTCGTGGACATGCCCTGAGTAGGAGAGGAGGCTGGTGTCACTTTTTTCTCAAACATTTCATTTTTAGAAACTTCTCTTCTGAGTTGATTAATGAATAAATGAACTAATTTCAGCATAAGTTAATGGACAGTGAATGCTGAGTACATTAGGCATTTGAGAAACACAGATCTCTGTGGGAAAGACAGACCAAGGAGCAGTTAATACAGCGCCACGTGTGCCGGGGACCAGTTGGATGGAGCATCTGTGCTCCTCGCCCCATCCCCTCCTCTTTCACACATTCCAAAGCCCCCAAACCTCAATGGTACAAGAGTGAGTGGTCATAGCCCCAACTTCATGGACCTGCTCTCAAACTCCTTGACTCAAACAGTCCTCCTGCCCCAGCCTTTTGAGTGGTGGGACAGTCAGTACACACTGCTATACCTGACCTCTCTCTGTTTTCTGTACAACTTTGCAGACCCTCCCATCCGCTTGGTGGTGGACATATCTGTGCCGTAGTGACACAAATGGTCACTTTGTGAGCAGTTACTAAACATTGGGTAGGCCTCTGCTCTCATGTCTTATTGGTTGGCTCCATTCCATGTGCCTAAAAATAGACAAGGACTTCCACTTTCTATCCCTGTCTTTCTAGAAGCTTCCATGGCAGTTTTTGCCCTCTCCCCACTGCTGCCACTCCAGTCAACAAAAAGTCATCAGTTTTAGCTCCTAAATAGTTCTTGAGCCTGTCATTTTGTGCTTTCTCACTTGTCTGAAAATGCCATTTTTTACCTGAATTATTCTCTTGGTTTGTCTTTTCCTCCTCCCTTTCCCTCCTTTATCCCTGCCCCCTTCTTGATTTTCTTTTCTTTTTTGTCTTTTTCATTTTTATCAGTACCAGGGATTGAACTCACGACTGCCTGCTTGCAAGGCAGGCGCTTATGCCGCTGAGCTAAATCCCCAGCCCCCCTTCTTGATTTTTTGATGTAGGGTTTTACTATGTAGCTCACACTGACCTCAAACTCTCTGCAGTCCTCCTGCCTCAGCCTGCTGAGTGGTAGGATTACAGGCGTGCATTCCCACACTCGGCTCTCCCAGATTCTTTATTCTGCTCACCAGCTCTGCTCCAACTTCTGTACACAGCACCAGAGTGATGTTTAAGGGGCGTCTTGATCATCACATTGGCCTCCACTTAGAAAGCCTTCTGCCTCTTCACATGTCCACCTCTTGACCCTGTCCCCTTCCTGCATCTCATTCTCTCTTACTGTCTCTTGCCTCTGAGCTTGTGCATTTGGGGTTCCCGTGGAAGCAGGCTGTGCTCCTCCACCCACTTCACCTGGCTGCCTGCCTCACTTTTCCAGGTCTCATTCTGTCTGCCTCTGGGCAGGTCTGGGGCGTGTGCCACACAGCGGGGCAGCTCTGCCCACCATGTTAGACTGGGCTCCTTGAAGCTGTTGAGAAGACAGAATTAGAAATAAAATATTCAACAGCCCAGAACACCTCTCCGTAGAGGTAGAAGGGAAAAACATTTTAGTGGATTTGTTTAATGTGATGCAGCAGCTGAGGCCATGTTCCAGAGCCAAGTGGATCTACCCCTCACAGGCTATCATTTTCCTCCAAGGAAAATGCTTGTATGTTTCTTGACAAGCAGGAAGTTACTTTTTTTTTTTTTTTGAAACAGGGTCTTATTATGTAATAGGGGCTGGCCTTAAACTCACAGTGATCCCCCTGCGTCAGCCTCCTCAGCTCCTCAGTACTGAAGTTACCCTCATGCACCACCATGCCCAGCAGGAAGCTTCATCTTGCACTAAATCTCCACAGAGACAAGGAGATAGGAGACCAGCCTCCTCCGTGTTCAACTCTCCAGGATGCCTCCATGAAAGATGTTTTCACATGCAGAGTTGACAAGAGGCTTGTTTTTCCTCTAAAAAGATGTCTATGCATCTCAGAGCTGGGCAAGGATTTATAATTCCAAAGGTTCTGAGGGAAATGCTTGAGTGAAGCAGCATACAGGGAATTCTCTTTCACTTTGGCACCAGGGAAATCTTTAATCATTTCTTCAGGCTGTGTTTACTGTGCACCTGACATGGTACTGACTCACAGCTGTCAGCTGGTGGGCATTTCAATGACTGAGTCACATCCTAACTCCCCATTTGTAGGACTTGGACACATGAGCTGTGTCCATTTCTCGATTCCATTAGTACCCACTTGAAGACGCTCTTTTTGGGATTCCCTTGGCTGCATCTTGGTGTTCTCTGGTAGGTCCTTCTGTTTTCTCTTCCTCTTTCCTTTTTCCATCTAGTATCTCACAAGGGCACCCTTTTTTGTTCCTCTGCCTTCATGGCTTCCAGCTCTCTGGCCCAGTTATTTTCTACTTTTTCCTGAGCTGTCTGTTTCTCCAGGTCAGCTGTCAGTGTGTATCCCAGGGCCCTGTCTCTGCTTGCTCACAGTTAATTCTTCTTTCAATCTGTTACAGAGTGGAGCCCTGCATCTGAGGTAAAGGAGGAGCATCTCCAGCAGGGATTTGGCAGAGAAGAACCATCCCGGGAGGCAGTCACCGAGCGGCCGAAGAAGCCTAGCGTTCACAGTGCCAGCCTGGGTGCAGCTTGGGAGGCCCCCACAATCCTTTGGAGAAACCAGACTGTGCAGTGGGAGCAAGTGCCTGCCACCCTCGGGGACATCTCCACAGAGCAAGGATACTGGGGACACAGTGGCTCCATGGAGCGCTCCCCGCTCAAGTGTGCTCTGTTTGCCCAGCAGAGTGCTCCTTCTGGGGGACACTCTCTTGCCAGGTGTACTACAGACATCCAGTCCACTGGGGCAGTCACCAGGGACCAGCAGAGGATGTACCTGGGAGACAGGTCCTTTGAGTCCAGGCCACACGGGGCAGGCCCCGGGGCGGACATCTTCGTGTGCAGTGAGTGTGGTAAAACATTCCCCCAGCGCACGTCCTTGGCCCTGCACCGGCGCTGGCACAGCCATGCCAAGTCCTACAAGTGCAGCGAGTGCGGCAAGGCCTTCACCTGGAGCACCAACCTCATCGAGCACCAGCGCATCCACACGGGCGAGAAGCCCTTCTTCTGCAGTGAGTGCGGGAAGGCGTTCAGCTGCCACTCGTCCCTCAATGTGCACCAGCGCATCCACACGGGCGAGAGGCCCTACAAGTGCAGCACCTGCGAGAAGGCCTTCAGCTGCAGCTCGCTGCTCAACATGCACCTACGGGTGCACACAGGCGAGAAGCCCTACAAGTGCGGTGAGTGCGGCAAGGCCTTCAATCAGCGCACGCACCTCACGCGGCACCACCGCATCCACACTGGTGAGAAGCCCTACAAATGCGGTGCCTGTGGCAAGGCCTTCACCTGCCACTCATCCCTCACGGTGCATGAGAAGATCCACAACGGGGACAAGCCGTTCAAATGCACTGAGTGCGAGAAGGCCTTCAACAACCGCTCGCGCCTCACCCTCCACCAGAGGATCCACACGGGCGAGAAGCCCTTCAAGTGCACGGACTGTGGGAAAGGCTTCAGCTGCCATTCGTACCTCATCGTGCACCAGCGCATCCACAGCGGGGAGAAGCCCTTCAAATGCAACGAGTGCGGGAAGGCCTTCAGCTCGCACTCCTACCTCATTGTGCACCAGCGCATCCACACGGGCGAGAAGCCCTTCGACTGCAGCAAGTGCTGGAAGGCCTTCAGCTGCCACTCGTCCCTCATCGTGCACCAGCGCATCCACACCGGGGAGAAGCCCTATAAATGTCACGAGTGCGGCAAAGCCTTCAGCCAGAACCACTGTCTTATTAAACACCAGAAGGTTCATTCTGGGGAGAAATCCTTGAAGTGTAACAAATGTGGAGAAATGTTCAGCTGGAGCTCGCACCTCCTGGAACACCAGAGACTGCTGCATGGTGAAGAGAAGCCCTTCACCATCCAGTTCAACAGACACCTGCTGAGCACCTACTACATGCCTGGCAGTCTGTTGGGTGTGGGGGACTCAGGGGTGGAGGATGTGGACCCAATAAATGCATTAGATGTGGCAAAGCTCTTATGTGTGGTAAAGCCCCCACCTAGCAAGAATTTCCCTTTGGGGACCAAACCTGACAGTTAAGGTAGGGTGCTTGCTGTTTCTTCACAGAAGAAAGCACTTCCTGAGCTACCCAAGAAGTGAGGCACTGTACCCTCTCCTGTGCTCCTAGAGCCAGACCACCTGTTCCTCCAGATGCCAGAGCCTGGTACATGACCCTGCTCAGACCCTCCAGCCAGGGTGCCTACTGTGAGAGCTCCCCAGAATGGGACACATTGCAGGAGAAGGGACGTGAGGACATCCCATCATCCTTGATGGGTCTGGAATTCATCGACAAAGGGCATCTTGCTTGCAGATAAGAAGGCCAGTCAACTGTCAGGTCCTGGGATGAGCTCCTGCCTGTTTTCAGTCAGGAATCTCTTCTATAAACTGTTAATGTTTAGAATAATAATAAAAGAATTAAGAGTTCTTACTTCCATGTGTACATTATTATAGCCCAGAAGGGGAGAATAATCTGGAATGGTGAGCCTTTGGGAAGATGTGAATTGCCTGCAAATAATCTCCAGTGAGTAGCTCTGTCGACCAGGGGTGTCCCTGCCTTGTCTCAACATGGCCCCACATCAGCGCAGCCAGATCCTGACCTGCCAGCATCCTTTCTTAGTATGTAGTCCGTAGTGGGAAACGAGGAGCACTTGGGCAGGATGCTAGGTTCAGGAGAATGGGCGCAGTGGGGCTATGGGTGTGTCTGGCAGCTTGCCATCGCTGGCCAGTGCTGGGTAGGCTGGGCACTGTGGCCTGCGGGGCCTCTCCTGGCATCACCTGGCTCAGGTGAGAGTGGAGGCCCCACCATAGGGCCCAGGGAGGTGACTGGCTCTGAGCTATCCCACATGGGGCTATTGTACAAATCCTTTTCTGGAGCTCTGCACAGACAGTTTAGGTGTTCCTTACTGAAGATGGAGCAGTATCCTGAGAAATCCATCATAAATTGAAAATATTGTAAATTTAAGATGGATTTATGCCACTTAACCTACCAGACTTCACAGCTTAACACTGTAGGCTATGCGGTTGTTTCTCTTTCTGCCTGGGAGCGGCTATGGTGACACATGCCTTCAATCCTAGCACTCAGGAAGCTGGGGTGAGAGAATTGTCGTGAGTTCAAGGCCAACTTGGAATATATAATGAGATCCTGTCTGAAAAGAACAAACAAACCAAAGGTAGGAAAAATAAAACACCTGGGGCTGAGGATTTAGCTCAGTGGCATAAGCGCCTGCCTTGCAAGTGTGTGGTCGGGAGTTCAATCCCCAGTACCGATAAGAAAGAAAAAGACAAAAAAAAAAAAAAAAAAAAAAAAGTCAAATTATTAGCTGGGCAGCCCGAGCTCATGGCGATGCTCTGTCTCAAAAACATAAAAATAAATAAATAAATAAATAAATAAATAAATAAAATTAGCATTGGCTACCACTACCAAAGCAACACTTGGATTTTGTTTGAAAAAACCAACATGTCAACATCAAAACTTTTTTTTTCCTTTGCATTCAGATGGCCATGGGTCCATCTGACAAACAGAGACAAAGACAGAGACAGAGGCAGAGACAGAGACAGAGACAGAGACAGAGACAGAGAAGGCTCAGATGGCCCAGAATTACAGATGGCTCATGAGGAATACACCAAGACCCATTTCTTTCATCCCGAAACACCAACCCCTTCTACCAAGGAAAATGCCAGCTGTAGTTTGTTGTTCATGTGTTAAAGGTTTGCTCCTCAGACCACGGTGTAATTGGGAGGTGAAAACTTTATTAAGTGGCAACAGAAGACAGAGATTAGGTGTGGCAAATGCTGGCAGGAGAACAAAGTATTAACTGTTAATTATAAAGACCCCAGAACCTGTGCACAGAACAGTTCCCAAAGCCCAGCATGTGGCCTTCCCTGGAGAACTTCAGCAGGTTTTCAACAGGATGGCCTAGACCCGACCTCAGCCTGAGCCCTGGGATCGCAGCACCCTCTCAGGACCGGTGTGGAGACGTTCTCCTGGGGTTCCCGGAGATTTGGGCGGGATAGAAGGACATAGACATCATCAGGAAGAGCTTGCTATCCTGACTTGCCGCACCGTAGCCCACCCTGCTTTCTCCAGGCTGTTTTTTCATCTTGCTTTTTCCTTTTACTAGGCCCAAATTCACTCTGCAGAGCCAGTTTCTCCCTCACTCTTCATTTTTACTTTTTAAAATAAACTTTGCCGCTGCTTTTTGCTCTTTGAATTCAATTCTTTGTTTGAGATGGGAAGAAGCCGAAATCCAACTTCAGTAGGAGAGGTGTGCAACCTCAAACCTGGCAACATTTGATTGGTGAGCCATTTTTAGAAGATGCTACTGGATAGCAGTAGGGCTTAGGGACAGGCCTCCAGGTCACTGAGGGTGTGCCCTCCAAGGGGACAGTCGCCCCTTCCACTTCCTGTCTTTTGCCCCTTTACCATGAGATGAGTGATTTTGCTCCACAATTCTCTCTCACCATTTCCATCTATGATATTTGAATCCTATGGGTTCATCTGATCATGGAGGGAAATCTCTAAAACTGTAAGTCAAAATAGAATCTTTCCCCTTAAAAGAAAACTAGCTCAGGTTTTTGTGAAAATAACAGAAAGTTGACTAACATCCAGTATTTCAGAATTTCCCTGGCCATCCACCTCCTCCCATCCTGGCACTGGAAACTCTATAACCTGGGATTTCCCCATAATCTAGTTTTCAAGTAAGCCCCCAACCTTCTCTAAAACAAATTAGATAAAACATCCAAACCCAATCCTCAAAAGGTGGAGTCCCCTTTGTAGTCCCCAAGCTCAGGCAATAGCAACTACTTCAACCCTGCATAGCCTGGGATATAACATGCCCCAGACCCTGGCACCCACTGAGGACAATTGTCCATTGATTCCCACACACTGAACAACATTTTTTTAAACCTTAATTGGCAGGCCAAGGATATAGCTCAGTGGCTGCCTGGCAGGTGCAAGGTCCTGAGTTTGATTTCTGGTATCCGAAAACAACAATAAAACCCCCCTAACTGACATATTTCTCCAGACTCTACTAAATTTAAGGGAGTACACTGTGTTGTTACCATACATAAGGAAGACACAGTCGGCTTACCTTGACCATCATCATAACAGCTGTTTGAACACTCTCATGGTTCTGGCTCGCTCTTCTCTTGGGTTTTCAAATGCAGTACTGGCTGGATGCTGTAGTTGGAATTAAATCAAAACTTTGACCCTATAGTATTGGTTTTTCCAAATAGGTCCCTGAGGACAGGCCCAAGTCACTAAAATTGTTAATGTGGTACAATATAAAACAGATTTCAAGAATTGAGACCCTCACACAAGATAAGAGAAGGAATAATTATCCCTACTGCTTTCTTTATTTTACTGCCCAAGTTGTCCTATTCTTCAACCCCAAAGAGCAAATGATGTCTTATTGTGTGACCTGAACCAGTGGTCCATTAAGGTCCCAGCTTTAACAAACTGAAATGATAAAGGCCATTCAGGCTTCCAGGGGCCAATTTTGGGGTTGGTTTGCTTACAGTGCTATACAATGCTTATTGCAAGAGCCTTTGCTTACATGCATTTTTGTCTTCTTCAGGATTTGGGGGGTTTTGTTTTGAGACAGGGTCTCCCTAAATCCCCGAAGTGTCCCTCAAATATCATAATCCTGCCTTAGCCTTCTGAGCAGGTGGGATTATAGACTGGGACCACAATGACTGACCTCTGTTTTATTTTTGTGGTAAAACATATATCACAAATGTTGCCTCTCCTTTAGAATTTGTCTAAGCAGATTTTCTGGGTTTTGTGGGAAATCTTCTCCATAAAAAATAATACATCACATAAAATGCATCTATCTTTTAGTTCATTGGCATCAGGTATATTCATCTATTTTCAGAACTTTTTAATCATCCCAAACTGAAAACTTTGCCCCCGTTAACTCCCATCCTCCCAGCTCCTGATAACTAAATTCTACTGTTTTTAATTCTATTTTTATTTATTTATTCATTTTTGAGACAAGCTATTGCTGTGCCCCACCCAACTGGGGATATATTCATCATTGATGATTCTGGCACCATGAATTGTAGTGCCAACTTCATATCAGCACTGTCCTTCATCTTCTGGTTTTTCCCACTTGGCCATGTTCACTTTGGGGAATAACCTTGGCCTGAAACCCACAGCCTTTGGGACGTTCCCACCTGGCAACGGGGGCAGAGCTAAGATGCTTCTTTCAGAGGGACTCTTATTTGCAGCTGTTTCTGCTGACACCCCGGGCGGCCACCATAGGTGATGGTGGCAAGATGGCAGCCTCTGTTTTAGTGAGGGCTGTGAATGCCAGAGTGGCTCCCTTGCTTCCCAACGTCCTGACAGTGCCATTCAGAACTCTGAGTGCAAGAAAAAGAGTGTAAGAGCTGTTATCTATTGATTTACTCAACTCCATTCTGGCCTTTGGCTCAGGAGAAGGTCTGGTTATTTAAAAAAAAAAAAGCATGAAAAAAGACAGCTGCAAGAAAAATGTGCTTGGGGCTGGGGGTTTAGCTCAGCGGCATAAGCGCCTGCCTTGCAAGCAGGCAGTCGTGAGTTTGATCCCTGGTACTGATAACAGCGAAAAAGAAAAATGTGCTTGAGGAAAATTGTGTTCTGCAAGAAAACACAGAGTAAACTCTTAGACGACATTCTTCTGGAAGAGGTTTAACTGGTATGTTGATGATCCTTATCCCAAGTATCACAATGGAACAAACCTGAAAGTATAGATCAGAAGTTTTCAATTGTTAGTGAATCTGTATCTTTGTGCATGATGTTTTTGCAAAAATGACTAAATGTAAAATTTCATAAATTTTACTAACTGATACGTAAACATAGAGTACTAATGTTCAGTTTATGAAACTTTTAAGGGATTAAATTCCCAGATTTGGTCAAGGAACTAGAGGTTCAAAGTTGTGCATTATGTTTAATGAATAGTTGTTCCAGTTTAGGTTTATTGAGTTGAGTGCAAGAAATCTCAAGTGAGGAGAAACAGGAAGACTCAAGTTAGCTCAGACAGTGTGTGACACTGTACTATTAAGGGTGTGTGTCTGGGAACTCAAGGACCAGCTCCCCAGCTTGGCCTCCCACCCAGAACTCACCCCCGGGCCTCAGAAAGAGCAGACCAGATGGTGCTCCTCAGCAAGAGACTGTAGATCTTTAAGGCTCAGGCTCTGCCAAGCTTCTCTTAAATTACTGACTCTCTACTTACCAACCGAATTCACAGCTTTTGTTTATGTATAGTTTCTATTCCATCTTAACAGGTTTGGTTTGCACCTTTGAGGTTCTTTTCTGCATCATGACCTTCAGATCCTGTCTCCTGTCTCAAAGTGGCAAGTGTTTCAAAGTGGCAAACATCTCTAACTGGACCAGCTTCCATTTTTATCCCACCACCCAGTGCCACCATCCAGTGTAGGCATTAGCT